GGATTTTTTGAGAATTTTTAGACGACTTTTTCAAAAATGAAAATTTTCATTGTGTATCTTCCTTATGCAAATTTTGACCCATTTTCAACGATTTTCGAAATTTAACTAAATACATTGATAAGATATTGCGTCATTTTTGCATGTCGGTGCGTGTTTGCAAGTTCAGATCGGATTGCAGAGTTTTTGTTTGGATTAAAGAGACTTCGACTTTAACTAGCCTCTGTTCGGATTACTGGATGTTCGGATAATCGTGGGTTCGAATTATAGAGGTTGTACTGTATTTTAGGAATATCGTGTAGATGGTAAAACGCAAACCAGAGTTTATCTAATCATCCCCACTAACAAAATGTGATCACGTCAGTTCAAAATTTATTTTTGCATAGTGGATACTCTTACACATGCGGTTTATGAATCCGTCTTCATTTTTTTACCCTAGATATTCAAAGGTTTGCAAACAACGTCAAAATTGTATAACATCATTTTATAATTTATTTTGAAAACCACAAACCCGAAGGCTCGGAAATGTTACAAATATTTTAAGATTATTATCGTAAGTATGGTAAATCGTTAATCAAAAATTATCCATCCCTCCCCCAAATTGATGACATCATCTCAAAGTTTACATAAATATAAACATATATTTTATTATTCAAATCAAAAGCACCCCACTTCATTTTCTAGAAAATTTAAGGATGTAACATATTCTTTAATTACTTTATTTTTATGTTTACTGCGCTTAGTGGACACTGATAAATGATAATATTAGTCCATAAAAGTTGTTTTTTTATATTCTAATAAGTACGTGTACGAAACAAACATGTATTTTTAAGCTGATTTTCAAAATATTGTTAAAATATCAAAATAGTTTTTGTGGTACCAAATTTGTGTGAATAGGTTTGAACATGTTTTGGCATATATGAGAGATGCTTTTGCTAATAAAATACCTAAGTACTGAGAATTTTGAAATTTACGTGCGACAAAATTTAACATCATGAAATTATTTTTGAAAAATGAAGATAAAATTATTTTAGATCATACTGTACAAACCTTCCACCGATCGACTTTAAAGACTTCAATAATAGGACAAACATGTTGAAAATTTCAATACTCGTTTTCTGTAACTAACAAAGGAAGATTTTTTTGAAGGAAATTTAAAGGCACTGTAGGTACAGTCAAAGTTTACATTGTTAGAATCAGATAAGATAAGGTTGAATGTAGTTACTGGAATGAAGAGGGGGTCGGTGGGTGGGGCTACTGTTTGCTTATAAAACTCTTTAGACAAACCTAAACTCAGCTCCGCCCACCTCTTGTCTCCATTTCACTAACTTATTTTATTTACTGTAAAATGTGAATTGAATTCTATTTTAACAAGTGGTGGAATCTAAAATTTAAAACAAAGTAAAAAGCGACTCCTCCCACCCGCCCTTATTCCGTTTTCATCATTCATTCTTATTGGCTCTGAAGAAAAAATTTCTCGAGTTTTCAATTTTTAATTACTTCATTTTTCGATTTTTCAATTTTAAAAATTATAAAATCTAAAGAAATATTGAAAAAATAAAGGAATTATAAAAAGGCAAAATTGTGATATGAAATCGAGAAAATGAAAAAAAAAATCGAGAATATGAAAAATCCAAAAATGAAAAATTGTAAAATCGAATAATTGAAAAGGTGAAAATGAAAGAAAATGAAAAAACGAAAAATTCTAATATCAAAAAATTGATCGAAGGTAAATAAATCCAGATTTTTCAAAAAATTATAAGATTTGATTTTGCAAATTTTGTTTTGAAGTCCAACTGGTTTTCCAAAATCACCTATTGAAATATCCCAATTTTTAAAAATTTCAAAAAATCGAATTTCACACCGAATTTTCGAAAATATTGCCCCGTAACCCTAAAGACGCTATATTTTTGGAACCAGTACGTCAAGATCTATAACCTTGAATATGAAAAAAAAAAGAAAAAAAATTGGTCGAAAATTGTTTTGACAGAACTTACCTTCCACCTAAAGTACAATGAAACATATCCAGCATTTTCGAGTTGAGTTTTTTCTTTACGCCCTCTCTTTTCTTAGAGGGTATCTCATTTGACAAAATCAGTGTTAACTTAGTAGGTACTAGCCCCGCCCACCCAGCCTCTATTTTCTTGGTGGGTATCTCATTTGCCAAAATCAGTCTTATCTTAGTAAGTACTAGCTAAGATAAGACTGATTTTGGCAAATGATATACCTTCTAAGAAAATAGAGGGCGGGTGGGCGGGGCTGGTACTTGATAAGGTACGACTGATTTTGGTAAATGACATATTCTCTCAAGCTATTGCTTGATCATAAAATTAGAAAAAACTAAACTTAGCCCCGCCCGCCTCCTTTCTCCATTTCACTGACTTATTTTATTTAGTGTAAAATGGAAATTGAAAAATAACAATATTATATTCCCAAAATTTTCTGGGAAAATGGAGTGAGCCGGTCCTGATTTAATCAATGCAATAAATTGACTCATTCATTTTTTTTGAGCCACCTGCTTAAAGCAAATCTAAAAAATATGAGTGCAATGATAAATCACAAGTATAAAAACTCCAGTGGCGGCTGGTGGGTCAAAATTTCGGGTCGGCCAAATATTTTGAGTCTACACCTTGGTGTTATATATTTTCGTAATGTATGGCTGCTACTCATTAACCACTGACATTTTACGTGCCAGGATGTACAAAACATCTCAAATGTTTCGACCTGTTAAAATAATTTTTTATAGGAAATTGACAATGTCAGTTTGATTCCAAATACTATTAATCCTTAATTCTACTTGTTCTGCTTTATCATTAATTGAGAACCACCGAAAACATTATTTTTACTGAGTTCCGCGTCGACCGGCGGCTATACGGCTTGCCGACCCCGGACATCCACAATTAAATAATAATAATTAAATAATGACATGCAGTTAAAAAATATAAAAAAAGTAATAATAAAAGTACCAACTGTTAACTATCTTCATTTACATTTATTTATTTTTAATGTATATGACAAATTGTCAAATAAATTAATTGAATAATTGAAAAATTAAAATGATTTAAAACTTTAAATTCGTTTCTGAAATATCTGAAAACGCTTAGATGCTAAAAATACAGAAAAAGCGCATTTATGTTGTAGCTAAGTTATGTACGAAAAATAAAATTTTAGATAATTTAATGTAATTTTTTTCGTTTATTATTCATACACAGAAAAATGTATTAAATCGACAATTATTATTTAAAAAAAAATAGTATGCACTGAAGAACATCGAAGCCGTTATTGTTTTGTAATTTGGTTAGCTATCTTAAATATTAAGCGTTTTAAAAACTAAATTCGCGTTGCTGGGTACGGCGAAGGAGGATTTCGCCGGACCTGGCGCAACATACGTTCCGCCAGGTCTTTGTCTACTACAGTGTACTAGACAAAGAGAACGATGAAACCGTAAGCTGCTACGAAGTCGAAACATCGAGCATAATGCATTCCTGGGTACGGCTTGCCGAAATCTCGCCGGCAAAGCGTGTTTATCAGCATTTAAAATTAGCAACAAATGCTTTATTTTGTACCTACAATATAATAAAATATATTTTTAATATATATGATCTATCCTAACGTACATTCAAACTTTATTTCTTTTTTTATTTTCTAATTTCAACGCTTACTAAGTATTTTAAAATGACTGGTACGGCGTGGCCGACCCTGCCGCCCCTGACCAGCCGCCCCTGAAAAACTCATCATATTTTGCACATTTTGGGCAGAATTTATTCGACAAAATTTTGAGACGACGTCATCATTTTTTTGGAGAGAATAAACAGACATATTTTGATTAACAATTTACCATGCTCACAATAACTTTAAAACGTCTGCTGAACAGATTCGACGCATGCAATTTATAAGTTTTAGGGCCGGTTTATAGAAAGGCGAATTAAATATTTAATCCTCGATTAATTTAACAGAGGATTAAAATGTGGAATATGAGCCCGTGATTGGTTAAAACATGCACGTTACCTAGCAACGGACCTCAATTAAAAGTTAATCGCGAATTAACTTTAACATCGGTTTCTATAAATCGGGTCCTAGTATATCATATTATTTGTATTATTTAGGAGTGCAGCTTTTTTTTTCTTTTTTTCTTTTGTTATTGAAATTGTCTCTTATTTCTATTTGGATGCATAGGTTTTAGCTGGATTCTTATTTTTGTATTAATAATAGTAATAATAATAATATTTCAACGCATTCGGTTTTGCAGATTCAAAATTAAATTGCAAAATGTTGTTTTATAATTTTGATTTTTTTCCAAAAATCTGGACGTTTCGGGTAAAAATTCAATACGGAGTCATAAACTACATATGCAGGACTATGTTATTTCATATAATTTAAAACCTATTTACTATGTCATTTGCCAAAATCAGTCTTATCTTATCTAAGACAAAAATTTGAATAGTTTTTGAAATATGACATGCTAATAAAGAACTAAAAACTCAGTTTCGAAATTATGAAAATTAAAAAAGTAATGTGATTTTAATCGTTGGGTGTTTGATAATTACTGACAGACCTGCCGTAAATTTTCTACGCTGCCAACATATATAACATGAGCTTTAAAGGACACTTTCAGCCGACTCTTGATGACGTAGATTATATGCACGCAGCAAGACATCGAAAAATGTTAGGAACAAAAGTGCAATAACGAAGTGCCTGGTGAATGTTGTGACATTGATATCAGAAAATTCTCTAACTCCATGTAGAAAAAAATAAGAAGAAAGACATTTTAAATATAATGCAATAACGTACATTAAAGTTTACAATTCATTCGTTGAATATACTTTTTCAAAACCTGATGTTTTTAACTAATCACTAACACTAATCAGATGGTAAAGAAAAATGAAAATTTTAATTAATGTATGTGTTTTACTGGCTGCCTAACGATATCAAAATCTAGCAATTCAGCTAGGCTCACTAGTGACTCTACACCCTGCGCATGCTCAGATCGCTCTCAGATCAAATCCGCCATTGAAAATTCAATTTGTATACAACTTATGGACGCCATTGCATGTTAGGGAAGTTGTGAAGCTTTCTTGTTGTTCCCGCGTGAAAACTAATAAGTTTATTTACACTTTTATAAACTCGTCGATTTTCCCTCGAACAGAATGAAAAGAAGTCGTCAGTTCAAGGAAGGTGACAAAGTTTTTGCCAAAATTAAAGGATACCCAGCATGGCCGGCAGTGGTAAGCAAGCCGCCAAATAAACATCTCCATCAAACTCATTTCATAAAATGTGCAGGTACTCGGCAAAAGCGGCAAGAAATTCAATGTACAGTTCTACGGAACTGGCGAAACGTAAGTGTTTCTCTCTTTATTTATATATATTTTTTTATTATTGGTTATGTTGAGGGGGCGCAGCTGTGTTGAAGCGTGAAGGTTAACTTCAATATATTGCCAAAAGTGCCCCAAAATTAGCGAGAAATCTGCCGACAAGCTTTTCCCGAGTTTGAAAAGCTTGTGCGATGCTTTCTGACAAAAAATTATTTTTACTTGTTTTCTAGGGGGAACATTAAACCGGAAGATATATGCTACTATTTGAAGAACAAGGAGCAAATGACAAAGGGATCCAAGAAAAAGGAGTTCAAAGATGCAATTGACCAGATTGAAAAAGCCATTGCGGTTGATGGAACCGATGGGGATGATTCTCCATCTGATGTAAAATTTTAAAAGTAAGCTTGCACACTATGATTATTTATGTATTTGTTTTTTAGGAACAGTCACCAGCTCCAAAGAGAAAACGAACAAACTCTGAAAAATCGTCAGATTCTGCAAAGGTTAGCAGAAATTCTGAAAGTGAAGGAGGTAAGCACCTTCATTTCGCTGTGGTAATCATTTTTAATTATAATGTTTAGAATCCAACATGAGTGAAAGTACAGCAGATGGCCCCACTGAACCTAAAGTGGAAAATGACACCGAGAAAGAGGATAATGAGACAATGGATGATGCGGACGTTAATAACCCACCAACTGATGAAGATCTCCCGTTTCTTCCAAACGTTAAAATTGTTTCAGAGCTTAATCTCAAAAACTGGATTATCTATGTGAGTTTTAGAACCTCATCAAACAATAACATAATTTTAATCCTAATTACAGGCTGATGCTGTTAAGGAAAACCCAGAATTATACAAATGTAAGACTTTTCATGTTTTTTTTTTTAACTAATTGTTGTCGTTACAGCACGTCCTGTGGATCAGAGATGCTATTTCCAGAATCAAGTATTCCCCGTGCTGCTGCCGTCTGGTAAATACGCTGGTTTAAAATTGCACAAAACCTGGCCACTTCACTTTGAAAATGAATATGATTGTGCTATGTATGACAACGATACAGCTTCTCGAGTTCTGCTATTGAAAGAATCAGTTATAACTGGAGAAGTAACAATGGAAAGTGACCCAGAGTCATTTTTGGAAGATTTTGATCTGACAGAAACTGAAATTCGCAGAGATGCTGAAATGAAACTCATCAACAATAAATATAAGAGGGTTGAAAGATTGAGAAGTGAATCCACATTGGTTGAACTCGATGCAAAAATAAAGAACTGCTTAGGGTTGAATAAGGCTGACCCAAAGAAGGCTCTGGAATTTTTGGATCAAATGTTGGAAATCAACATGGACGAAATCATGCTAAAAAAACATTCCCATGTGGTCGAAATGATCAGGAGATTAAGAAAATACATTGGGAATGTTGATGAATGGAACTTGTCACCAGAGGAGTTAGATGTCTTCAACACCGATGCACAAAAATTAAGAACCAAAGCTGATGAAATTTACAAGAAATTCAAATCTGTTGTTAAACTACCAGCCGGATCTATAAACTTCTGGGACGGGTTTAATGACGTAGTTCGCAAATTTAGAGAAGACTGCATCCACTTAAATAATAGAGAAGTATTTGTTCTGTGTGCTGAACCTTGTAAGCTTCAATATTACTAAAAAATAGTTTTTTCATGACAACATTTTTAGATTCGCGTCAGGCTATTATTGACAGGCTTGAACAAGAAGAAGAATTGCAGGAAGCAGATATTCATCGCCCTGTTGAGGCGGACACAGATAAAGTTGGTAATAAGATGAGAACATAATTATTTTTGTTCTTTAATAATCCTCTTTCTTTTAGGAGAATCGTAGTAAGGTTGCCAATTTGGAAAATGGATTTCATGTTGCATAAGTTTATAAAATTTCCAATCTTTTTTTTTTATTAAATGTTCCACATTTCTTATTTGTATATCAACATAATAATAGACATACATTCTAGTATAAATGTTATTTATTTACTAAACCCACAAACTTAACTTCTTCGCGATCTTGATTCATATCTACTATCATGTCTGCTACTCCTGCTTCGTTCCCTCATTTCACGTGTTTCACGTTCTCTCCTTTCCCTAATTTCCAAACTAATTGGTTTTTTGAAAGGTCGATCGCGACCACCAAATCTGAGTTGTCCTGATTCTTTCTTCCCTCCAAAACCACCCCCTACTCGTCTTGGTCGCCATCCTTTTAATAATCGTTCACACTCAAAATCAACAAAAATAATATTACCGTCAACATTCATTTTGTTCGCTTTGGAATAAGCTTCTTCTGCGTCATGTTCACTTTCGAATTCAATAAACGCGTAACCTTTGGGCATGCCTGTCACTATGTCCTTAACTAAACGAAATCTGCGCAAAGGGCCAAACCGTGAAAAAACATCCTTGATTGTATCCTTCGTGGTTTTGAGATTCAATCTACTCACGAAAATTGTGCATTCTGGACGGCCTTTTACGTGTCTGTTTGGGTAATACTCGGAGTTGAGGGCTCTAACGACGCCCTTGTCGTGGGGCTCCGTGTCAGTCCCGTCGATAGAACCAATTTTAACTGGGTCATAATATTTGGCGAAACGTGACCACGAACCTTCCGGTGAGTCCTAAAACACATGTAAATGTTAAACATTGGAATAAAAATGAAAATTTGTGTTTACACTCATTTTTGAGTTATCTGTCAAAAGTCAATGTTTGTCTTTGTTGCACTAGTATGCTACACTAGTATCTATCCTTTTTTTAGTGACATCTCTAACAAGTTCCAGTTTTGACAATATAACATAACCTACAAGATACAACGTGAATGTGTTAAAATGAAAGTGAGCAATAAAACTACGTTAGCCGATAAAATTGCAGGTATTTTAAATACTGCACCTTCTTCTTTCGACCCAGAAGATGATGTTGATGCCACAACCGCTCAAGTACTACCTGAAAATGGTGAAGATGCTTACGAAGAGGAAGCAATTTTGAGTAAATTTAGACGCGCTAATGTTGATTTATTGGCTGATTTAGATGAGAAGTATGCGGGGAAAAAGACCAGTAGAAAGAATCTCGGGGATTCTGACTCTGATGGTATGTTGTTTGTTATTCGATATATTCTCAAGATTTTCTACTAAAATATTGTCAATTTCAGAAGTACAGTCTGAGGATGTTGATTCTAGTGATGACGGAGATGACCAAAATGAGGACGATAGTGGTGAATTTAATAAGAATGCTGAAGATGAGGCAGAATCAGAAGGTACGCATAGTTTGTGAAATGGGGGAGACACAGCATGTTTTCAAATTACAACTGAATCTTAAAATTTTTTTGGAGGTTTTCAGTTCATGCTTAAAAAAGAGGTAGTTGTTTTGATTAAAAGTAAATATTTCTCTGTTTTAATAATTAATGGACAGAAGCTAAAGAGTAGACTGTTTCAAATCATTACCTATGAAAATAGAAACTTCTTTAAAATTATTAAGTGTTAAGAACAAATTATGATGGAGTAGCAAATCACTATGTATTTGTAAAAAGAGAAAATCAACACAAAATAAAGTCTAAACTATAAAACTGAAAAAAAAACAGTGTTCAAATTACTGTGAAACAAATATAATTGTAATGAAAAACATTTAGAAGAACTATAAACTATCAGAGTTCGCTATTTTCATTACAATCATTCGTTTGATCTGTAATATATCCCTTTTGTGGTCTTAAAAAAGGCTGTTCACATTTTAAAGGTACACCAACAGAGTGATCACATTTGTGTCTTTTAATGCGGCAACCCAAATTACTGATTACAGTTGTAGCTGGATTTCAACAAGTATTTTTTAATTAATTTGAATCCAAGTTTGACTTTAAATAAATTTAAAAGATATTTCTAATTGTCAGAAATTTGTCAAATGAATCAATTATTAAATTTGAAGGAAAATTAGAATGAAACCAAACTGAAATAATTAAACCAAGATTTATAAAAAGTCAAAACAAATGCTCAATGTGACTTTCTTGTTTTTTTTTCGCAAGCATCAGTTCTGTCCAAAAAAGATCTTCTATGCTACGTACGGTTAAAAATCTACGCAAAATTTGAAATTTCAAAATGAATCTATTTTTAAGCGCTATGAAAAATAAGTTTTACGTTACTCGAGAATTTTTGTAGTGAGTTTCGTTTAGGAGCCATAACTTTACGATACGAAAATGAATTCCATCGAGTTGATGTTTTTTGCTACAGAAATGTCTCTTAACAACAGAAAACGATGTCTACTATCATTATACTTTTGTATTCTCCTGAAAATTATTTGAAATATCTCCTAGAATCGTTGCCAAGTTGGCGTTGACGGTAACTTTGATGGTCAACTTTTGCCGTATTTAAAGCGGTTGTAGAAAAAAGTTCAGGATTAGTTTTTTGTTGTTTGCGAAATAAGTCTACATATATTAAGAAAAAAAGGCAAAATGTAGCCCCGCCCACCCGCCGTATCTCAATTGTATGATTTTTTTTATTCGTCGTGAACCAAGAAGGCGGAGTTCAACTGCAAAAACCTTATGTCTCTACGAGAAATTAAAACATGTTTCTGAGTATCACTATCGTGTTATTCGAAGAATACTTTGTATATTAAGAAAAAAATAAAGCCAAAGATTAGGCCCCACCCATATCCGATCTCAATTCTCAATTGTGATGAATTTTTCATTCGTTGTCAGTTCGAGGGGCGGGGCTTACTTGCAAGATTCATATTTGTCTACAAGATTTTTATGTTTGTTGTATGAAGGTTTTAAATTTCTTGTTCTGAAAAGACGGCTACGTATATTAAGAAAAAAGGCAAATTATAAGCCCCGCCCACCCGCCCTATCTCAATTGTGATGATTTTTTTTAACCGTCGAGAGCCAAAGGAGCGGAATTTAATTACAAAATCATTATTATCTTCTATAAGAAATTACAATGTAAATAATGTTTTTTAGTATCGTGTTATTCAAAGAATACTATGTACATATATTAAGAAAAAATTAACGCTACCCATACCCGCCCTGATCTAAATATGTAGTAATGAAGTTTTCATTCGTTGGCAAGACTGAGGGGTGGCGAAGCCTAATTCCAAAATCCGTATTTTCTTACAAGAATTTACCATTTTAAACGTGTTTTAAGTTTATATTTTGCCGTTTTTTCTTAATATACGTAATATTCTTTGAACAACACGATACTTAAAAACATGTTTTTAATTCCTTGTAAAGAAATAAGTATTTTACAGTTAAGCTCCGCACCCTTGGTTCACGGTGAATAAAAAAAAATAATTAGAATTGAGTTAAGGCGGGTGGGTGGCCTTATATTTTGTCTTTTTGTTTCAATATGTGTAGACTTATTTTCACAACAAGAAACTTAAAAGATGTTTAAAATGGAAAATTTGTATAAAGAAATACCAATTTTGAAATTAGGCTCCATGTTCTAAGTTTCTTGTTGTGAAAAGACGGCTATGTATATATAAAAAAAAAAGAAAAATATAACCCCCACCCACCCGCCCTATTTCAATTCTGAGAGGCAGAGGTTAATTGTAAAATCCTTACTTTTCTATCAGAAATTACCATGTGAAATTGTTTTTAAGTAATCGTGTTATACAAAGAAAACTAAGGTCCGGTTTATAGAAAGCGAAATTAAAGTTAATTCGCGGTTAACTTTTAATTCAGGTCTGTTCATAGGCAACGTGCATGTTTTAACCAATCACGGGTTCATATTCCTCATTTTAATTAATTAAAAAAGAAAGGCAAAAGAGAAGCCCCACCCATCCGTCTCGATCTCAATCGTGATGAATTTTTCATTGGTTGTCAAACCGAGGGGCGGAGCGTAATTGCAAATCGATATTTTCCTATACAAATTTATGAATTTGAACATGTTTTAAGTGTCTTGTGAAAAGATGACTGCACATATTAAGAAAAAAAGCAACCCCAGTAATGGAACTTCAGTAGTTTTACATTTACACCAGATACACCGACAGCGTAGGAATTTCAGCGCATTTTGTAGTGTTCGGTTGCTGCCAACTTACATGTCAACTGTCAAGAAATCCCAATCTCTCACCGGAACTACTATAATCTATATTTTTTTAACGGATTTTGATAGATGATTAAATTGATATAAGAATGATATACGACACTTTGACATCTATTTCAATTTCAGTTTCAAAATATAAAAGTTATAAACATGAAAAAATTAAAGCTAAAATCAATGGCATTTACAGAATTTTAATATATCTATCCGTTGTCTCACAAAGTGTGAAATGCATTTAAGTATTGTAACCTTATTTTTTTAGTTTTGTCATTTTTACTTTCTGAGCGTACGCGAAGGAAGTATTGTAATCGAGTCCGTCAGCCGACTCTCTACTTTTACGTTTTCTCGACCTTTCATGACCCCTACAGTGCGAAGAAATAGGTCTCCGAAAGTACTGGCTGATTGTTGTCAAATTTTGTACAGTATAACCTCGATAATCCGAATTAATTGGGGAAAGGTGTGTTCGGATTAGCGATTTTCCCAAAAAGCTGAAAGGAAATTGAACAACAACTTCATACACTGCTGAAAACATATTTCAAGAAATAAACCTTAATTTTATTAAACAGAAATAAAGTATTCTTAACCAAACATGGATAATAAGATACATTCGAAAAAAAATATATATTACTCCGTGACCATAACCACGCCATATTTTTGGAATCAACACGTCGGGATCTATATCCGTGAATTTAATTAGAATTTTTAGATGACTTTTTCAAAAATGAAATTTTCCATTATGTATTCGTATTATCTCCCTTATGCAAATTTCGACCCATTCTCGACGATTTTCGAAATTTAACAAAATACTTCCATGTAGATTTTAGGCCACAGAAGTCACTTCTGGATTCATTTCTTCGATAACTTAAACCGTTTTTCCAGAATCGTCCATTGAAATATCGCAATTTTCAAAAATTTCAAAAAATTGGAATTTTACATCGAACTTTCCGAAAATATTGCTCCGTTACCATAAACATGCTATATTTTTGGAATCAGCACGTCGGGATATATATATCTCTGAATTTTTTCAGAATTTTTAGACAACTTTTTCAAAAATTAAATTTTGCACTGTGGTAGTACTTGCCAAATAACCTACCCTCTAAGAAAATAAAAGGCGGCTGGGCCAGGCTAGTATTTGCCAAAATAAGACTCATTTTGACAAATGACCTACTCTTCGAAGAAAAGGTACTAGCCCCGCCCACCCACCCTTTATTTTCTTAGAAGAGTAGGTCATCTGCCAAAATCAATCTTATCTTGCAAATGACATATTCTCTAAGAAAATAAGGGTGGGTGGACGGGGCTAGTACTTGTCAAGATAAGACTGATTTTGGCAGATGACCCACTCTTATAAGAAAATAAAGGGTGGGTGGGCGGGGCTAGTACTTTTAAGATGAGACTGATTTTGGCAAAATGAGTCTTATTTTAGCAGATACTAGTCTGGCCCGCCCGCCTTTTATTTTCTTAGAGGGTAGGTTATTTGGCAAGTACTAGCAAATTTCGACCCATTTTTGACGATTTTCCAAATTTAACTAAATACTTTTTCTTGTAGATTTTAGAAGTCACTCATTTCTTCAGTAACTGCAACCTTTTTTTCAGAATTAGTTAATTAATACAGTGTATTGAAATATCACAATTTTTAAAAATTTCAAAAAATTCAATACAATATGTGCTGAAAGAAGATCTTGCGTCATTTTTGCAAGTAGGTGCATGTTTTCAAGTGGTTCGGATTATATAGGTTATACTGTATTTATATTAGGAATATCATGTAGATGCTAAAACGCTAACCAAAATTTGTCTGATCATCCCCACCAATAATATGATGACGTCACTTCAAAATTGCATATACATAGTAAATGGGTTTTAAATTGTATAAAATAACATATTCCTACGCATGTAGTTTACGACGCCGTGTTGAGTTTTTACTTTGAAATCTTGCAGATGTTTTAAAGTTATGACAGGTATGATAAATTTTAAATCAAAATATATTTGCTTATCCCCTTCAAAAAATTGATGACCTGAGCTCAAAATTTTGCCGAATAAATTCTACCCAAAATGTGCAAAATATGATAAGTTTTTACTTGCGATTTATCATTGCATTCATATTTTTTAGATTTGCTTAAACAGGTGACTCAGAAAAATTAATGAATTAGTCAGTTTATTTTATTGATTAAATCAGGAACTGCCACTCCATTTTCCCAGAAAATTATGGGAATACAACACTGTTATTTTTAGTATT